GTCTCAAATGAAACCACTGAGTTTTTTGAGTTATTGGAACCAAATAATATGAGAAAACGTATAAATGTAAATTTCTCGACAATTAACCTCGAGAATTCTCGAGACCCGAGAAATTGAAAAGCTCGAGAAATCATGAACCCTAATAGTAATACAGTCTCTATTACGTAATCCTCTCCCAGTAACTCAAGGGCAGTCTCCTAAATCTAAAAAAATAATTTACTATTCAAGGTTATTGTATCAAAAGCTATTTTTTATGATCTGGTATCATAGACGTATAGAAAGAAATGTAGGAGAATGGGATTCAGCCGTACCCTCTGATGATTCCACGGAAAACACTAATCCTCCTCTCTACGTATTTCGAACAACGAGACGATATACCTAACATACATTACTGTTTTATCTCCATATTTGAATTTTGCAGTGGAATTCAATTTTTTTACTATAATAACAAGTGATAAGGGAGTGGAAGTTAAATAATAATTAGTATTTAAGGAGATATAGACACTACAATAGCTGTATTATTATGATCAGGAATCTATACCTATATGAACTAGTGTAACATGTGATGGTAACATGAAACTAGTACGTGTAAACACGAGATCATTAATCGTTGTAGATTGTGTTAAGTATACGCTTGTTCCACTCCACGCCATATTACAATTTGCATGTTGTTCACTACACCGACTGATGTAATGAAATCTCAGCATGAAATGAAATGACATTTATTTTACTAAAAATGTGTATATATATGAGTTTACTATATTGAATTATTTATCATTAGGATTTTGAATAAGGTAAATTAATTTGGTTAAGTTTTTGATGTTATTGGAATAGCAAACAATCTGACGACCGGGCCCAACGCTCAAAATTAAAATCAAAATATTTTTATTCACTAGGTCTGTTACAGACTATTACAAATCTACTATTAGTTCGGACTGCTGTCGAGCTGAGAAGAACTGACAACAAAAATATTAGTTTTAAAAATAGAATATTATTGAAATTATGTTTAAAATGTACTTATTTAAAAATAATATTACATGCGTAATATTATTCATTTCTGTAATAATATATATTAAAATCGCTACGCATGAGTGGTATTGCGAAAAAGAAAAGAAAAGAATAGGAGCTGCCTATTCTTTTCTTTTCTTTTCGTCGTTTACATACCTACATAAGCAACACTATGGCCGTCACGGTATCATATGACGCCCGCAATACCACTCATGCGTAGCGATTTTAATATGTATTATTACAGAAACAAATACGCATGTAATATTATTTTTATAGTAAGTACATTTTAAACATAATTTCAATAATATTCTATTTTTAAAACCAATATTTAGAACACCGTACTTATTACAAAAATATGAGCACAGAATTGTATATTACATAAAGATTGTTAATACAAATATGTTTATTATAAATATACAAAGAAATCTGTTCTCATCTTCTAATATTCGACTTGTTTATTTGTTCGGTCTATTTTTGCGTATTCATAAAAACATTTTCGATCTATATATAAGCTTTGCCAAAATTAAAATATTTGACATAATAATTAATAATTGCGACTACAACTTTCATTCCACTGTTCTGATCTGATTCAAATTATTGAAGTCTTGGAGATTTATATTAATTTTGAATTAAATATAATTTATTATATTAAATTCAAAATTAATATGAGAAAGAATGTTTTACTGAAATTACTCAAATTTATTGCACTATAATACGTCCTTAGGCCATTGTAAGAATTTCACAAAAGTTCTTAACGAGATGATCTTCTTACTCTTTTAAATACAATAAAAATATTTTTCCCTAAATATATCAGTTTAGTTTTAGCTTTGATTACTACATATCCATGAATCAGATGCCATAAGATTAACACTGGCGACATTGTAAACATTCGCATGCTAAAGTGATTGTTTTTGGGGATAGAAAGGCTTATTAAGCCTTCGAATACGGTCGGAACGGCGACGTAACAATCCTTAAGTGGTATTGGTTTTTGAAGGGACTGAAATCAACAGTACGGTTGACTACGCGTTCCGTCAATATTTACTAGATTTTTATTAAGGACTAGGCAACACACTTCCGGTTTCGATCGGGTAGCCAATAATTGCGAAAGGTTATTTTATATACTACTTTTATTAAAAAAAAATTGTAGTTGAGTTTCTTGATAGCTCTTTTCCACTAAAGGAAAGTAAATAGAGATAGTAATAAAACTAATACTTTTAATTACAGTCACGAGAGATCTTTTGGACTTTTATTGTTATGATTCTATATTATTGTACATATATATTTATTACATACTATACTATCATATCTGTTTATATCTTGATGGTGTAAATATACAAGTAGGTACAAACAATACTGGTACGTATTTAATAGAATATCTCATCTACAATCAATATATCAATAGATTTCAAGTGTCCTTTCACAGATTTTTACTCATAAACATAGATATGTGTAGAAAAATAAATAACAGAGATTCGAACTAAAATTTATTTGGTCTATGAAAATAAAACGCTATTTTTTCGTTAATTTATGCACGTTTCTATAAGCATTACGCGTGACTTTGTCTGTATTGTTTTAAATAAAAGTTATTCTAATTCTCCTGATATACTTATCGTCACTTCAAATTTCATTATTGTCCATTCAGCCGTATAGTAGTGAATCTGAAATTAACAGACAGACGTACTGTCTCTTTTATAATATAAGTATGGATTGAGGGATGAAACCACTACTCTGACTGCTTTGTCAGGTAACATGAAATTTATTCAAGAGTTTCTTATATCTTAAGTGTGAATAGTAAAATAGGATTTTCCACGACGCGGGAGATAACGAATATCGTAAACAGCTATTTTACTTTTTTTTATAAAAAATAGCGAAAATTGTGTTATTTGGCGAGAGGTATGAAACCCTCAAGCCATCACACGGTGTGTATAAAAAATGAAACTGTCGCTGTAACGGAAATATGGCGCAGAAAAACTTAATAAAGCCGTTCTTCACGCATAATGATATATTTTTGCAACTTAAAGTAAGAGGTCCTATACAAATAGTACTTAGTATTTAATGTGAAGTAAGACTATTTTATATTATTGTTACGGTTAATTAACCATAACAATAATATAAATGCCGAACAGTGTCGGTCTCTCCATACTTATTCAAGAGTAAATGAATGCCTATGATACCTACTGAACAATAATTATATTTTATTACAAAAATGACATCATCTGTTTTTGCGGGTAATAGAGAGTTATCTAATAATTCTATGTATAGTCATTTATATTGCCCAAAATATACTCTTTACGATTGGTAAAAAGTGCCACAGAGCAACCAAACTCATCAAAATAATATTATTAATAAATATTTAATCACAAGTAATAAGTAATAGAAAAGTTAACAAGATATACACAAGCAAACGTCTCAAATAACGAAGGGCAATAAGGAAAATCACAGAGACAGGAGAGACCTATATATACGTAATGGTAGATTTTCAGAAAGCATATAAGGATACAATTGGAATTAAAGAAAATAAAAGTCGGCGAATTTGCGCTGTATATCCACCTGGGGGTATTCAGAAGTAGGCAACCATACCAAATAGCGATGTCAATTGTCAACTCAACGAACTGCCGTGAACGCTTCGTGTGAACTACACCTTAGGGACAAATATTTACCCACTTTTTGTTATATAATCTCAAAATGCCGTACGCTACAGGGTGTGCTGGTAATAAAAAGAACCTAATCTAAAAAGAGATCGAATAACAAATTGAAATAGATAAGTATGTAAAATATATTAGACTTATTGATAACATTGTTTCCTATTTAGTAGTACGATATTTATATTTTTGTTCAATACATTTACATAAATCTCGCAATGGACACTTATTAACATTACGCGTATATGCGAGTACGTTTATTAATTCATTCAAATATATTTTTTTTCAAAATGTTACAAAATATTCCAAAGCATGTTTCGTATTACGTAGCTATTTTAGATTATAAATATACCTATTATACCAAGTTTTTATTTTATGAAGAACAATCAAAGTTGCCAGACACAATTGTACCTAAAAATATACCTACAATATTCAATATTTAATTGTATTACTTTTAATTGAAATCTTAAGACTTTGGGCTTACTTACTACTATAATACTAACTTTACGATAGTATCTACATCTATTGATATTATTATAAGTACTACTATATATACTCGATGTAAAAATGCAGTATACCCCCATTCTTTTCATTCTTTTACAGTGCACTAGTAATTATGAACGGGGCGAAAAGGGTTGCAGGAGAAAGAAAATTTTAAATGAAGTAGTATCTCAAGCAGACACCTGAGCAATCTATATAATTATGACGTACTAATGATATATATGTCTAATATTAATGTTCATTCTTTTATTATGATGGGTTTTCAAAGCACTGTAAAAAAACTGCCAGCATTCTTACCAACTTAATAATCAAGAAAATGCAATTGTTACAAGTGCCTAACTAAAATACTTATTGTCAGGCATAATAATATGAGAAACTATAAATAAAAAGTTACATACTCGTAGCTATAATATAAAAATTACAAACTATTGCGATAAATTTAAATAAAGTGCACAAGATCGAGAAAAAATCCTGGAATACTTTTTCGTAAGATCGGTGTAATATTATTATTAAGTTATAATAATTATTATGTAATTAAATATAACTATTAGGGTATAAGGTCTTTTATAATAAAACAGATTGTACCCTAAATAAACAATTATACCCTAGATAAAAATACAATTTCGGAGTAGATAAAACTATAAATTGAAATAGAAATGTTTATAACAAATATAAAAGTATTTATGAGTGAGTATAATTATATATCAATTTAAGAGCAAGTAAATACTGTGATAAAAATATTATTGTCCCAAGAATAATATAGTAACAAGTTTTAAAATATATAAAAAAATATTTTGAGATACGTAAAATAAATAATATTATTGTAATATAACATAGTGCTAATCGTACCTAAGTTATGCGGTGTCTGGATGCATTGCTCAGCGGGTAAGTTTGTCTACGGTGCTACGAGAGTACTACGATCCGTGGGCGTAGGCCATTTACCTCAGCCGGCGTACTGTATTGTTATCAGTGTCACTAAAAACAATTCACAATGCGTTCACAAGAGACCGTATGCTTTTCTTCCGCGCCGATCGCGTACTGATTTGTTTACGGCGAGTATTCGTGAGTAGGGCGGGCGGCAGTGGTGTGGCGCGCGTCGCCTCTACCGCGCTCGGCGCGCAACAGATAGTACAAACGTACAGATAGTCCTAGAGCCAAACGCCCCGGGTGTTGGTGCACGGTGACGGCGACGGCGGCGGCGGCGGCGGCGGCGCGCGCCTCCACATCCCCTGCGCAACCCGAGACACCCGCTACGCCTCCTCTGACGTCACGCCAGAGAACCCCGAAATCCTCACGAGCGTTCATCGTATTGCAACGCCTGGAGCAGTCGGCAAAAATGTGACATTCAATATTCGGCTAAACTCGTGTATTACAATAATCCCGTTATAATTCAATACTGTTTGAATTGTTTCATTGGAATTTAAATGTAATATACCAATGGGGAACTTTACTGACAATTTTTGCCAAAAGCGCCACTCGTTGACAAGTTAAGAAAACATAAACAAACAAGTAACTTTTCGTTCTTTGGTTTCACTTTTGTAATTGTTTTTAATATTAAATGTGAGAGTAAAAGATTGATGTACTATACACGATTAGAGAGGGGAGAAGATGTTATCCTGTCTCGACTCCTTATAGACAAATGCAGTGTGAGGCAACCCAACTAGGTCTAGACTATGTGCCACGACCTTAAATGTATGGCAAGTTAAAAACAAATACAGGAAATAACATTGCTTATATACAAAAAGAAGTAAAAAAATATTGATAAATAGTTTATTAATTTTTACATATATATGTTTATATATATGTAAAAATGAATAAACATATATATAGTGTTGTTACTTCCACCACATTGTGCACAATTATTGCCATTTCAAAATCGAGTCCCCCTACAATCAAATTTTCCACATATATCAAGTATTTTAAATTGGGTAGCTAGAGTGTAGGCGACGAAAAATAACACATACCTACCAAAAATATTTTATGTATTTTTAAGGATAGGACCCTACTTTTCAACAGCACATTTTATGGTCGTACTTGGTATACCTACTTACCGTTTTTCATTTCAGAAAAAGCTACATTGTTTAAATTTGTTTATATATTAGCTTATTACAGTAAAAAAATAATGAAGTAAATATGGTCAGTTTGTATATATTCACTCAATAAAAAAACATCAAATACATATTGATATAATCTATGGTTTAAGTGAGAATCTTTAAAGTTGAGCAAATACTTGCCTAACGGAATCGATATTTATATGAATACCTAGTATTAGTTTCTAGAGTGAGTTAAAAACAAACAATGACAAGCATCACAAAGAGAATATGTTCGTGACGGCGTCACCAGCAGTGAACGCAATAAATGGCCTTTGTAAGACATTTAATCCACTTAAGAGTTTGTAGCCCCTGTCAGGAGATGCTGACCGACTTGTACCCATTGTCGCTAAAAAATATTGCTTCCAATTGTGTACGCTCAAACCATTATCTCCCTAACTGTAATGACTTTAATATCTGTCTTTATCAGATCGTAACATGATATATGACTTCCTATCTATAAATATAGGTAATACTCTAATAAGTTTATTAGAAAAGCAAGTGATCTACGGAGTACTGATAATGCATGAAACATTAGATATTCAAGGTCGATCCTGATACCTGTGTACCTACTTATTGATCAGCTATAAAGATACGGCGTATATACTTCCTGAACATACTCTGTACAAAAAATATAAATATAAAACGTAAAACTTGACTTTTAGAGATTGAGTTGGGTTTTATTTTCTTGGATTATTGAGATGTCGGTATTTCTATAGTTAATAAATGACTGTTCTCTCTTTCTTTTGTGTTTAAAACTTTTCTATTTAATCTGCAACAAATCGATTATTGGCTAGCTACTTTTTAATATTACAATTTTAATTACATACGTTTTTGTGGAGTATGAAATATAAAACAGAAAACTTTGTTGTTTTTTTATTTGTATCCTCAAAATTATTAGTTATCAATTCATTCCTTTGACAACCGAATAGTATTCGTTGATATACATATAAGCCAACAACTATGAACTAATTAATATGCTTTATTGATCTATATTCGTGATTAAACAATCTGTAAAACAGATAATGTTTAAAAATATACGCAAAAAATATTCTGATTAATAACATCAGTTTTGTATAAAATATAGTTATAAGTGACAAAAGAATTGATGGATGAACAGAGGGTAGACAAAATTTTACAACAAGGAACTCTTGGTATTGATGTAGTGATTTCATAGAGGACTTTTGGTTCGGAACCCTAAAAATCTCTACGAGTAGCAGAAAAATATTTAAATTCTCCTCAGCGGTAATATTAATACCTGGGATTTATTTTCACACTGCGCTGCACGTAAGCTGGATTATGAGTCCCTCAATTCTAAAAATTACAACGTGGCAATTTTTAGATACTTAGATAAATATTTTTATTACAAAAATTTTAAATCTATTTACTATTTGTCGTCCGTAGATATAACACTTGTTTTATTTCAACATTTTTTTGTACTTGTGTATTACACTTTAGTACTTGTGTGTTATGATTATGTACTTGAAGTATAGTCTTCATTTTATAATAAATATATCATTCCATACGAAACATGTCAATTGAATGAACGTTGATGAATTAATTGAATCACTGAAAATTCGAGCACAAATAGAGCTCCTTCCATTAGCGAAATGAAAGATCGAAATACTCTAAATCGAATTCAGTCAACATACATACGTTGATGTCTCTGAAAATGTTGGAGTTCACTGTAACAGAGTACGCGACCTTTGCCATTTTACGAACCATGGAAGGGAACCAACTAAAACTTGGTACAGGCCGTACGGCGCGCGGCGCGGTGCTATGTATGTGCGCTCCTCCGTTTAGAGCCGTGTACCGGGATCGTATGCTCTGAATTATTGAAGCTCACATATAAATACTCAGACATTCTCCTTACTTTGCACTTATACAAGTGAATATACTTTCCTTTTTGACATAGATACCCCTTTATAAGCTAACTCAGCTTATAAAGGGGTATCTATATACCCTAGGGGTATCTAAAAGGGGTATTGGACATTAAAATTTGGTGTAAACAAACTTTGAGAGTAGTCTCTAATAATCTTAAGTATTCATTCCCGTGTTAAAAAATCTAACTTAGAATTTGTTTTCAAATCTGAATAATACATAACAAAGATAGATAAAGCTCTTTATCATCAACCGCTATTTTTTCCACCCAAAACCAATCTCACAAGAGAAATTTTAGTCCATCTGAAAAAGATTTATTGGTGACATATCGTTTATTTTTTATATGCAATAAGTGGTCAGATTATTGAGTCATTGTTTCGATACAGAATGAACATATACCATTTGTAAGTTTGTTGCTTTGAATAAAGTTCAATATTAATCTAATAAAACAATAACTCAATCTAATAAAACAAAAAATCGCAGCATAAATAAATATAACATATCCATAGTACTTAAAATTATTTATTTATAGCCCATTATTCTCAAATTTAATAAAAGCTCTGATGTATTTCAATAAATATTTCCTAAAAATTGCAAAATTTCACACCGCGTATTAAAAGAAATTAGATAACAAAAATATTGATGATTTTATCATTGTAAATGAAATAATTTTAAAACAATAGTCAGATTTATAGTGATCCACTAAAAAACTGAGTGATCGGTAATTTATAAGATTTGACGGCGAACTGCAAATTTCCAGTAGTGTTCAGACCTTTAAGAATAAATAAATCCAATATTTTGTACAGCGTGTTTATACTAATTACCACATTATCGTTGTTTGTATTAAATAGGCTCACTCATTAAATATTGGTACTTCTTACATTCACAAATATATACCTGTGCTTTTATAAATACCGCCTGTATTTATAAAAGTTTATTATTTTGTGGTAGTAAAGTAATAAAGGATTGGTTTAATAATTTACGAGTAAACACATATGAAGATGTATAGAAACTGAAAAAAGACTTTATTAAAATAAACTTAAATTTAAACACTCTTGAATAATTACTTTTTTAATATATCACTCATTATAAAAGCAATACAAGAAGCACTAGCAATAAACTTGCGTGATACTCTTTTGTATTATTTTTTTTTCGGTGTGTGAATACAAAGTAACAAATAGCACTAATTAATTAGAGTCAGAATAATAAATATTACGATAGCTACAATTTACTCCAAATAATATTAGTGCTCATTACATTCGGGTAGGAGCCTTAGAATAGTATAGGTATATATTGTATCTTTATAAATTATCATTAATGCTTGTCTGTTCCCGCTCGAAGCATTTCTTTAGAAATTATTACAATTTTGCGTAAACCGGTAGAGATTAAAATAAAATACTATTAAATTAGTGTAGTATCTTTAATTTGAAGCTAACTAACTATAAACAAGCACTAAATGCGTGTCAAAGTCTATTTAAAACTGTAACAGACAATATAAAAGACAGTCACCATTTAAATTACAGTGTATTTAATAAAATATAAATATTAAATTCCAGATTAATCCTTAATCTAGTAATACCGTTTTCGAAGCATCGACATTTAAGTCTACAGGCACAGACAGCAGAATTTATAGTTTTTACAGAGTAAACTTCATATAAAATCTGTGTGAGTACTTCTATTTCAACCATTTCAATATCCGTATATATATGTATCTCATAATAGCATGCTATGGATAAATATGGCAATAACATTTCATGGTACGGAGCATGACACCATAGTCCTCCAGAATTTCAATACACTAAAGGTACCGCGAGTGTTACCTGATGACGTGATGTTCAACAAAGCTGTTACTTTATTTAGGTGGCCGTTGTCATTTTCAATCAGGTGGGCCAAACTAGATTCCACCTAGATTGCCAAAAAACATATAGACCTCAATCGTTGTAGATGGATACCTATTAATGGTAGCACATTTTGTATCACTGACTATAGCATTAGCCAAACGAGTTGTTTGTAACGAGCTACGATATGGGCCATTAGACGCAGCTGTGGGAATAATAACCATTCGTAATGGCATGCAACCGTACCTGACAGCTTAAATTGATCCCGTAAATGACTTCACATAAAATAGACAAAAATGTAAA